CTTTCTTCTTCTAACACAAGGTGGTTACGATGGAAATCCTTCCTGGTGGGGATTGGGTATTGTCTGATAGCACCATGCCTAGCACCATGCATTTGCCATTTGGGATTGCAGCCTTTGGGCACCACTGTGTTGTCAGCAGTCGCGTATAACAAATGCTTTTCAGAGCACGAGTCAGAGGCAGCACTGATGGCAGCCTTGTGCCTGCCCTGATGTGGGCTGTGCTGGCCCGTGCAGGCTCTCTGGGTCAGCCTGGGGTGTGTGGGGTTGTCTGACCCCAGGAAGAGATGCCACCACACTCCCGCCAAGCTCCAAGAGGCTAACGGCATGGCAGGTTGGAGAGAAAAGGAAGCCGAATGGAGTCGTTAAACAGTCAATCATAGGAATGTACAATGAGCTGATCCTTGAGAGATTTAATTGAAAGCCATCTTGCTAGTGTATGGATTAAGCCCTTATGAGACTCAGACATCAATGGTTTTAATATCCCATAATCCTCCTTCTGCTGGGTCATCTGATGTAATAACATTATTGGGCCTGCGTCAGATCACGTCTGAACTGCAAGATGCTGTGCTTTTCTGAGAGTGGGGGAAGGGGATCGACACAAGGGGATGAAGGAAGCAGACGAATGGCTTGCTCAGAACATTGACCCTGTCCCAGAGGCCCAAGTTACGTATCAAAAACATGGCTATACTGAATAGCTATTGGTTATTTAAAAGCATGAAGAGAACAGATCAACATTTGAATCGTTGCGCAGGGTTCTTCTTGACCACCATGTATGACTTTGCTGCATATCTGAGCAAAGAAAGGCTAAATGTCTGCTAACAAGGCATTATCTATCAGCAGAGTTGCACTGTTTCCCCATGGTTATGCTGCACGTCAAAATCACTATTATCACTACAAATACAATGCTTTTTGCTACTTGAAGTCTACCTTGTTTAAAGGAAAAAAAAAACACCCATGCATTTAACTGAGCAGGAAGAATGTCGCATAGATATTCTTTGTCTTAATGTTAATAACGACTTTGGTTTACTCAGTGATCTAGAAAATCACAGAGAGTAGAAAGAAGTGTGACTATGACCAATGCATGAACTCATAGTGCAATTTCAGATTCAAAGAATTACATTAAAATGCTGTATGTAAGATAGGCAAGATTTGTAGGGAGATGTAGCATCACTTAATAGGTCAGCTGAGAGAACTGGAAGTTAAAAACTGGCTCCCTAAAAACAGCCCCTTGTAAGTTAATTTACTTGTTAGACCTTATCATATTCCACAGCTACTCCAAAGAAGAGGATGAATGCGAGCAGAATACTGCAAAGTTGTTGACACAATATTTGCAATTAATCAAGCGTCTGTTACATCTGGCCAAATCAGAAGATGATATACTTTTGGGGTGATACAAAGGCCATGTTTGGGCAATTGCCTGGTAGATGGATACCAGATTGCATGTTAGGAATGATGCATCTGCAGGGGATGTAAGCAGCATCTCCTCCAAGATCAAGGGGGAAGTCAGAAGAAAGATAAGGAGAAAATATATTTGATTTTGCCAGGGATTTGCCTCTCTGAGGAGTTATGATGGTGTGAGAAGGAATGCACTGGCTAATAGTCACATCCTGCAGCTGGATCAGTAGGAGATGAGCGCAGTTTCTCGTGTGGTAGGAAGGGACTGGATCATGAGTAGCTAAGCTAGTCCCTCCAAAGGAAGAGGTCTCACTAACCTTCCTTCTTCCTCCATGCCTGTCTGCTCTGGTCCCAGTGGCTGACTCGTGCACCTGGCGGTTTTTTCCCTGAACTGGTTCAAGTCACTGATTCAGAAGAAAATGATCCACTTTTTTTGTTTTTGGGTGGGTTAATTTTCTGCCAGGTTAGTGAGCTGAACAGTCTTATGGAAGGCCCCAGCACAAGATAAATCTACTCATCTATGTAACTACCCTTGCTAAAAGCTGTTGCCAATGTAATCTGGGGAGGCAACTGAGAACTGTTCTCACTTATTAAACAAGCATGCTTATGTCTTCAAGCCTTGTTTAAATGAAGAAAAATCTTAAACGTTTCTCAGTTCTACTGTTGGAAGCAGCTGCGACAACAGGTTTGTGTTTTGTCAGCCAGAGCAGATGGGCTTCATGGGTATTCCCAGTTTCAGGTATGCTTAATAAAGAGGACTGAATACTAAGAGGGAGTGAATTTCCTCAGCCCTCCACTGGCTCCTTGTAGTATAGTATTCCCATAGCATCTAAATTCATTGCTTAAAGGAAAAAATTGACATCCAGAAAGAATTTAGAAAGTTGCTAATTATCTTCAAAACAATGCAGCAGCTAGAAACAAAGTCACTGACCTAGCTGTTAAACCATATGGGAACACTAAGTGGGCTATACAGAATATTTTGGGGAAAAAGTCTGAAAACAGCTCTGTTTTGGAGCATGGTCTGGAAACAGTTAAATTCTGTTCTTTTGGGACTCCTTAGCAGCAACAGCAGGAGTCACCTGGCAGCATTCAAAAGCATCTTGGCAGTTGGGAGATGGCCTTCCAGGGACTTTCAGCTCTCAGGTCTGTGCGGACCTTCCCAGGGAAGCTGTGAAGGAGCCAGAAAGTTTAAGAGCTTTTCAGTTTATGGCTCTTCAGCAGACATCCTGGTAAGGTGTGAAAGCACAAGGGGAGGCTGGAAGTACTGCCAGACGTAGCGTGGGGGAGCTTGGAGCCTGCAGAGCAGCTGGAGTGAGGGAAGGGAGCAACGCAGGCTTGTCTGTCTGGAGTGAAAAATCTTACTGAAATCCCTGGACTCCTGAGAAACATGCCAATTCTGAGTAATTGGAATTGCTTTTTTCCCCATCAGGCACACAGAATTTTTTGGAGCAGTTTGAATTATTACTCTCTTGCATTGTGGAAAATAAAAGTTCCAGGCAAACCTCCTTGCACTGGGACAAATTCCAGCAAGATTTGAATAAGAGCAAAAAAATATTTGTTGGTATTTCTTTAAGCGTGATGTGCACAGCCATTGCAGCTGTGCATCTGAATGTGACATGTATGCACTTGTAAGCTTTTAGGAGTCATCTAAAAGTGCTTGGTTAGCAATATTTCAGCTTCATTGCCAGGGACACTGGTCACTTTAATTAGAATTGATGGTGCAGAGGAGCCCGGTCCTGCTTCACGCTGCTTGCTTCAAGATGCCTGTAACCTAGCACAGCCACCAAAGGACGGCGTGGATGCAACAGGCTAGAGCTGTGCACGCAGAAGGGGGATGGTGCCCCCATCAGTGTGCTCTGCTGTAATTCAGTGAAGCTGGCTTATCAAAGCCCTAGCAAAATCTGCATCAGGACCAGTCACAGTGATCAGCTTGTCTCATGGGTGTTGAAATTTCCCTTTCCCTCGTGTTGCCAGGTTGGCTCTTCCTTCTGCTCCAGCTGAGGCAAATGTAAGGTTTTGTTCAAAAACCCCGAAGATGCGTGGGAGCCTGTGCATGCTGCAGCAGATACAATAGCAGGATGGATAACAGCTTGCAAAAGTACATTGTGTTCTCAGAACAGCAGTTTTTCAGCTGTCTTGCTAGGTGTACGGTATATAAAGAGCTTGGAATAGTCTTGAGGAAGATGATGCTGTAACTAAATACAGGCATGGCAGCAGGCCCCGCTGTGCTGAGCGCTGCACAAATATGGGTTTAGGTCTAGAAACATATTGTAGCATCTCTTAAATGCCATCTAACTGCTAATCAAGTTCAAAACATAGGTCCTAAAAATCCATGCAGACCTCCTTGGAAGTCCTCAGATAGCTTATCTGTGCTGGCCAAGAACCCTGCACATCTGCAGAGTTGCTGCTTGGATCCATACCTTAGCCACAGCCCCCTCGCTGGCAGTGCCCAGGCTTGGAGGTGCACTCTGAGTGCACGTGTTGGTGCAAGCCCTGTGAGACCTCCTGCCAGAGGCTGAGGGTTCAAAG